GTCTGTGAAGTTTCAGCTCAAAATACTCCACAGATCATTTATTATATCATTTTGAAAATGCCTATTTTGAGTGGAAGCAGAAACACGCTGTTTTTCGGGCCTGTCTCTTTAAATGCAAATGAGCTGCTGCTCCCCGCCCCCTTTTCCAGACTAGAGCTGCGCCATTACAGCTCTGACCTGCTAAAAACAACTGTTTTGGTTCTGATTATCATGTTTATTGTGCTGAAATCATGCGGTTTAAACCATATGAGTTTAAACTTCTGATATATGGTTTTCTGAGCGCACACATCCGAAGCACACGCACAGAAAGCGACTGTCAAACCTGGAAAAGTCAGATTTTCATGATATGTCACCTTTAATGTTTATGCTCTTTCTGTAGTCATTCCAAGTCTGTAGCCCTTTGATACGGGTCTGTGCGTGACTCTGGCTGCAGGGTTGAGGATGTTATGCTCCACCCTGGGCCGGTACAGCTCGCTGAAACTGCTGTGCATCCTCTCATTATGGCTGCCTGTGCCCCTTTGGATGTGGCCTTTGCCTACATCTGCCTAAAGCCCTGTGTTTACTCTCAGCTTGTAATGAGCTGCCCTTAAGCCTGTAGGGCTTTCCCGGGACAGAAGGAGGGAAAAAATGAGCAGGGAGGGAGAGGGGGAAACGGGAGCTGTAGTGGAAGTTGTGCGGGTGAACTGAGGGCATTTTAAAGACGGTCTCTAAAGAAGAGGGGTCACAGCGAGGTCACCGTGCTGGCTCTGGACAGCAATGTTGATCGCACGCTCCTGCTAGGACTTAGCGCCCTGCTGTTAGGAATGCATATGTGTATATATGGGGTCACTTGTTTGATTGTGAGGGTTTTAGATAAGACAAGGAAAGAAACTGGGTGAATTTATATACACAGTGTTGGACTGCGTGTGCATGTGCTGGTATTAAAAGTGAAAACAAGCATTATCATCTGACTAAAGCTCCCAGTGGGATGCTGTGGCTTACACAAGCAAGTCTCACAGCCGCTCAGAAATCCAATATGTAAATCCACTTAACGCTGCCTCAACAGAAAAAACACACGCACACACACTCCATCAGAGCTAAACTAATTCAGAAAGTAAGACAGAGGGGAAGACATCAAGGACCTTTCCATAATCCTTCAAGGCAGGTAGACCAAAGATTATCTCCAGCTGTGATGGGCACTGTTATTTAGCAGTGTCACAGGCCCCTGCTTTTCTGGGTAGGAGACATGCTTTGATGCTGCATCGGCAGGACAAGTAATTATGAAGAAAGCTAAGCCGTACCCTATCCTGTTCTCTTGAGTGGATAAGTCCAAATTCAATCAAATAGCATCTGTACTATAAGACCACACACTTGAGGACTGTCAAGTTCCTTTTAGATCAAAGGTCTATAATTTTGTTTGACTTTTGTTCACTTGCTTTGGACAATATGTCTTTGGCTTGATACAAGATTGTCCATTATGTGTATGAATCACCGTTACTTTGAAAATGATTGTTGGAATAAGCAACTCGCTACACTAGCTTAAAGTTACACATTTTGAAAACAGCAGATCAACTTTTAATGCGACTGAAAAATTTAGTTAAGTTAGTAAGTTAGTTAAGTCCCTTCTTGGGTACTCCTCAGTAGTGGTATGAATGTGTGTGTCTGTGAATGAGTTTTCAACTTACCTTCCATTTCACAGCCCAGGAGTTCCAATCGAAGTCCCATCCCAGCAGGAGTGGCTCTGTCTGGGTACACCCTAACAAAGCGTGTCAATGTAGACTCCACAGTCCTCAATGCTGGCGTGTCATAGTTCAAATTCCCCTCAAATATCTGCCAAGAACAATGACAGAGTCAGAGACAAAGTTAGCAGTCAAGCAGAGAAATTGAACTTGGAAAGATAAAAATGGAAAAAGATAAAGGTGAAAGGTTTATTGAGAGTATCCCAAAGTTACCCTGACAGGGAAAGCAAAGAACAGAGCATTAATGAAAGAGAACAAGTGAGAGGGCACACAGTACACACCTTTCTTAACTTGGGCACTGCTGTATTTCTAATGCAACAAACATTATCTAATGCAAAATCTGACATTGTACAGCTGAGCTAGCGCAAAAGAAAGGCTGCGGGCTAACACTGCAGTCTACTACAGCAGGATGCACAGGCTTTCAAAAGCATCCGCCTTTGACTTCACACTTCTGAAGCCTTAAAACCCAGACACGAGGTACCACAGGAGGCAGACAGAAAAAAGGAAGGAAAGACGAAAAGACACTCGCCAGAGGTAGAGTACAGAACAAGACAAGAAGTCATGAAAGAGCATTAATGGCCATCGGAGCTAATGTGTCTCCTTTTATCCTTCAAACTAAGGAAGAGATATAAGGGTTTTAAAAGGGGCCTTCTAGGATTGATATTCCAATCCAGCTTTTTGATAGGAGATAAGGCTATGTCTACAAAAAAGTCACGCATTTCATGTGGTTCATGCAGCATTTCTTTTGAAATTTGTCTGTTCATGTATCAGTATGATCTTCAAGTATCACTATGATATCAAATGAACACTATACTGTTATTCTGTTTTGATATTATGACATTTTGGGATTAAAATTATTAGTAGTATTGTTGAATGCACTTGGGATGTTTCCCCAATATTGTGCTCACAGCATTAGTCTAAAGGCTTGTGCACACCAAGGACGATAACTAATAACTATTAAAAAATAGTAAAGTCCACACATCACAGCTATAACGATAAAGGCACAGAGAAATGATATAGCTGGAATCACCTTCAGAATGATTTTTTTTCCAGCTGATGAATGATAAAAACATTGACAACCAATCAGAATCAATCCTGCTATAACGAGCTCAAGAACTGAAAGTGGCAGAGGAGCATGGCCTTAGAATAAACAGACGATATCGTCCGCTGGTGTGGACGCTAATATAGTTATCTTTATAGTTATCGTTCTTGGTGTGAACAGGCCTTAATTATTATCATTCTCTCCTCTGTCCATCTAAAGCAGGGGTGTCAAACTCAATTCCTGGAGGGCCGGAGCCCTGCAGAGTTTAGATTCAACCCTAATTAAACGCACCTAATCCAACTAATCAAGTCCTTCAGGCTTATTTGAAAACTACATGGTATGTGTGTTGGAGCCGGGTTAGAACAAAACTATGTGGGGCTCCAGCTCTCCAGAAATTGAGTTTGACACTCCTGATCTAAAGGCTTCGGGGAGAATACATTATAGCGCCACGTTCAACACGTAACAACTAATTTCCTAAAAATCAGGCTAAACAAATCTCAGAGTCAGTCTCAGACTAGCACTTAAGAACTTCATAGTGATTCACAGCTATTCTAAATGTACATCCAGTTTATGTCCAACTACTTTCCAGCTTCCCTATATCTTACCTTGGGCTTGTTGCCGGTAGCATCCATCACCATTTTCCAGTCGGATCCGTTGTTGCTGTAGCCCAGCCGAAACTTCTTCATGAATACCTTGTTATCACGGTGTTTACCTCCCTGGATGATGAAACCTCGGAACAATTTCTCCTCACCCAGATCTATCTGCAGCCACTCATCCACATACGGCTGGGGCTGCGGCAACAAGGTCCATCCCGAACGGCTGGTCAGCAGACGGGCATTCTCTGACACCCAGGTGCGCTCGGTTTGGGATGAAACTGTGATCTGAGAGTCTGCGATAAGGCCTGAGACCATTCCCAACATTCCAGAACATGGGTACTCTGTTGAAGGACAAAGAGAGTATTAGATTCAAGGAAGTTTCAAACCCTTCACTAGTGAGTATCCTGAGCTGTCACATGAAAAGCAGCAGACAGAGAAAAATATAAGTGCATTTCATATTTTTAAAAGCCCTCAAAAAACCTTGGACTGGCCATCAAAGGAGAAATATACTTTTTGATTGTGTAGTTTTGGCACCCACCGGCAGGGGCTAACAGGGCCATGCTAACCAGCCAAACCCTGATCCCTCGTTAAGACTGTTGTCTAACCTGCCACTGCTGTGGCAAAACAAATGTACCTTTATTTGTCATGTCAATAAAACACATGAACGCAGAGAAAGACAGAGCTGTTTGAGAACATAGTGGAAGAGCTGAATGATAATTGAGGACGTGTCTATGAAAGATTAGATTAGCTGTGAATGGGTGAGTCTGAGAGGAAGAGAGGAAAAAAATGATGTTGGCTGATAAACCTGGTAGAAACGGTCACATCTCAGTGAGCTGGGAAACGTTCTTACCAACAACCTAAAGAGGTCGCAGACCATAAAGAGGCTGAACAAAGAGAGAAGGAAAGACATTCATTGCACAGGAAAGACAGATGAAGTGGACAGAAGAGATAAGAAACCTCTTGTTCTCTTTGTTTCTCTCTCTCCATCTTCCTTTCACCACTGACCTTATGCATTAACTCCTCTGCCTCTTTTTCTCAAGCTACCTAATTAAAACCTTTCTCTAGTGAATCTACCTTTTATTTCTGAACAGTTTCTCGCCCTCATCCTCAGTCCTGCTCCACTTATACCTTCCTTTCATGTTGTTTTTCATCTGCTTTCTTATTCACCTCCTTCAAACCTATCCCTTCATTCATCTTGTAATCTATCTTCATCTCTCCAAACTGACTTCCTTTGTTCCAGCGATGATGATAGGATTTTTCATGCTTTGCTACTTTTAGGCAAAAGCAGGTTGAGTTTGAGGGAAATTATAAGACATGCAGCACTGACCAAATGACTGTGTGTTGCCTGTCACGACTTTCGTACCTTCTCTAACGCAGTGGGATTTGTGACCTGCCAGCAATACCATAATCTACGATCAGCACCTGTGGAGCAGGAAAGCGTCAGAGACAATCTTGGACTAGTCACAGATGAACCTAATGTCCCGTGAAATACCACCAGAACAGAGTTTTCACTCACAACACTGCCTTAGTACTTTCTCTGTAGTTTTGGAACGGAAAGAGCACTTGTCTGTGACCCCTTCAGAAATAGCAGAGAGTCCAAATGTGAGTTCCAGCCTCCTAAAACAACAAATGATTGGGACTTTGATTGTTCCATTGTTTGTTTGTGGATGTACAGCCGGGGTTGAGTTTTTTGAACCCTTGCCAAATTTGGAAAATGTCTCTGCGTATAATTTCTGCTATATGCATGCCAAATTGTTTTGGGACCTGATTGAAAAAGATCTGCACGGAGGTGGTTGGCCCTCAAAGTTTGGAAGTCAACCAAGTTTATTTTCAATCCACTGGCTGGCACTGCCATCAGGATCCGTTTATGGATCTCAGATGGGGATGCATGGTAGAAGCTCCTGGTGTGGTAGACCCTGACAGACACACCCTGAGGGTGGACTGGTCCATGTGTATTGCGTGTTTCGTCGGTTGGTTTGGTCTGTGCACAGCACATAAAGGCTGGATGACCACACACAGATGGTTTTATTTACAAACAGCGGGAGGAAGTTTATTAATGGCTGTGTGGATGTGGAAAGCCTATCAGACCTGAACTGTGCACAAGACCACCTCCTAACTGCTAGCAGGCATCCTCTGTGGGTAGTATCAAGGTACAGTGCAAACAAACATAGTGCCCAGGAATGGTGTTTGTGGCAGTACCTTGGTAAAGTGATATGTACTTTGGTGAAGCGGCATCAGATGGTAATACCGTGGCACTTTAATACTTACCATGGTAATGAATGGTTACCATACTGGTACAAGTACAAGTACACAGCCTTTGTATATGCCCTTGCAAAAAGTACTGTGGCGCAACCATGGTAAAATGGTAATAGTATAATACTTTGGTATTTTGACTTATACCTTTCTACTAAAATAATGGTGTTTATGTGCTACTCAACGGGTACTTTCAACGTTTTTGGACATGTACCATGATATTCTTGGTGGTACCATTGTAAATGTGCAAAAAGTTTCAAAGTATATCTTCAAAACATGCTTAACGTTGTCCAAAAACATAAATACCATTGCAATTGTTAGTAAGTGAAACTAGAGGGAGATTCTTCCCTAATCATTCGCCCAACTTGGCAGCATCATCACAAGCCCGATGCACACTGATGATGTCACTGGGAGGCCTCCGCTCTTGTGAATACAACCAGTGCTAAATCTGTGTACACACGCAGACTCTAAAAATAAGCCCCTATGCATGTTGAACGTAAAGCTGATAGACGGCGCATGATGGCAAACACGCTCGCCCTCCTCCTACACATATGAGGAAATGTTCTCAGTGAGAAGCCGCTGATTATATGAAAGCCTTTGCAATCAAAGCTCTGTAGGGTGGAGCCATGCCAAAACATGCAGATGAGTATGCAAATGAAGACAGGGCCAGCTGGGCCTGACTGTGGCTGGTGGGTGTAGATCTCGCCGTGTGCAATAGCATGTGCAATATGTACATCTGTGTGTGTTTGAGAGAGAGGCTGAGAGGTTAGAGCTCGGGGGAGGAGGGTAGAGGCAGAATTGGGGTAGAAGTGGAGAGGTTGCAGCAGTAGCCGTGCACGCTGTGCATGCCATTAATTTTGAATGAAGTACATCCAAACATGGGGAAACATGAATACACGGTCCTTTTCGTTGACGTGAACACTTGTCTATAACGCAATAGCTCCTCCAATATTGCACATGCACGGTTTGCACATGGCTTTCAGAGGCATGAATAAACACTTCTCCATACGCCTGCCTCCAAAGCAAGCAAAATGTAAACTATTTAATTGAAAGATTATGATGGAGTGGTGTGTTGACAAAACCCAGCTTCTGAATCTGAATTAACACTCTGCTTCTATATATTTTTGAGGCATGCCAGTTTTGCCGTTGACAGTTCGTTTTGAAGCCTGTAAAATAAAAAACAGTGCATGCTGAGCATGCCATTCATTTTGAATAAAGAACATCCAAACATGGGGAAACATGAATACACGGTCCTTTTTGTTGACTTGAACACTTGTCTATAATGCAATAGCTCCTCCAATATTGCACATGCACAGTTCGCACATGGCTTTCAGAGGCATGAATAAACACTTCTCCATTCGCCTGCCTCCAAAGCAAGCAAAACGTAAACCATTTAATTGAAAGATCATGATGGAGTGGTGTGTTGACAAAACATTGCTTCTGAATCTGAATTAACACTCTGCTTCTATATATTTTTGAGGCATGCCAGTTTTGCCGTTGACAGTTCGTTTTGAAGCCTGTAAAATAAAAAACAGATTCTTGGAACCAACCTGAGATTTTGCATCCATACACCTCGAAGCGCAGAGCGATACCGGTTTCCCAGTTGTATGGTCGGATCCGGAGGTATCGCGTCAATGTGGGCTTTGGGAACATGGCTTTCGCTACATCAGAAGGGTTGGTGTTCCCTTGGAAAATCTGACAAGCGAAGAACAAACACATTAATTATTAACATGGTTTGTTTAAGCAACTCACCAAAGACAGACCTTTGAGGCCTGGGACTCACCTAATACTCAGCCCCAGAAACAGAGAGAAATAACAGGAATGTGTTTAGATCAGCGTCTTCAAATGTGACAACCTAAATAGTGCCTGAATTAAATTTTCTCTGGAGCCAACTGGGTAGCAATACAAAGGCCACTTTGTGATGTCAGAGTCTGGGTTACAACTAGTGCTGAATGTTTTTGACACTTCAGTTACACAATGATTTCTGTTGTTGTTGCAACAGACATAGCGATGAATCAGACTGTGTTATGTCCATGGGCACTGATTCTTGCTGACAGCTAGCACATGTTCTCTGCAAAGGGAGGATCTAGAAATTGTTACAAGAAAGATAAATGGAAGCAAAGGCAACCTTGTCGTTTATAGTATCTTGTTTCACAGGTCACTATGCAAAGGTCAACAGGTTTAAGTACATCTTGAAAGATCTCTCTTTTACTTTTTCAGTTTCAGATTTTTAAAATTAATTAATAAAAATTAGTCCTTAATCCTAAAAAAATTAAAATGAATCCTTATTAACCCATGTTCCTTGGCACATACATGCACATTCTATATTTAAAATAAATTGCTTAAAAAAAGCTGATTTTCAAGTTTTCATGTACTTAAATTCTTAAGCACTTCACTGAACCCACTTGTGCAAACCCTAATTATCATTTTGCTGTTGCCACCATTTTATAAATGCAACAGGTCAATCTAGTCCACCTGTTACAATTATTTTACCATGCTGTAAGAATGATAAAATCACTGTATTGCACAGCCTCTCTCTCAGCGTACTGCTTTAAGATCAGTACGTTCAACTCAATTCTAAACTAGACAAGGTCAAACTGTAAGCCGTACAGGATGGCCAAGTGTTGCTAAGGCCCAGTCAGGGCACACAGCCATCCGTCTACCCCAGAATTCATGCTGCTAATCGTGTCCCTGGGCACTACTTGTCAAAACGTGTGTGTCTGGGAGGGAGACACATGAGGAGCCATCCACTATCTTTAAATGTCACGCCAATGCGCTGCTCTACTGCTCTAAGTAGTAAAAAGGCTTTCCTTTGTGCAACAACCCCACAGCCGAACTGCTGTTTCAGCAGTCTGTAAATGGGCCCTCACCTCACAAAAGCACTTTAGAGCCAGGCAGACAGAAACAAGGCACCACATCTTAAAAATGCAAGCTCTAAAAAGAGAACAGTGTAGTTTAGTTGAGGGTCGACACAGAAATTGGGCCTTTGGGTACATTTAAGCTCACTGTTACTTCCAGGCATGAAGATGTGCACACACACACACACACGCACGCACGCACGTCTAATTGGCTTGCTGAGCTTGACAGGTCTATTTCAAAACTTGTATTGTTAGAGCAAGTCTGCAGACATAAACATGCATATGAATGCGTCTTGCACTCACAAATGAGCAAAATCAAAATCATAAACTTCACACACTGGAAGTGTCTCAAAATCTATGAAGCTGCCTACAGAGACAGAATCTTTGGATCAGGTAAATCTCACAATGTCCAGTTCACATTTCTGACAAAAATCAGGTGAAAATTAAAATGAAATTGCATTTTGCAAAATAAATTATTTTAGATTAATTTCAGATTTGCATTGTGACAATATTTTAATGAAGTAAATAAAGTAATAATTATATTAAAATATATCATGTAATATATCATGTTTTTTTCACATTACAGTTGATTTGTTTGCATTCCTGTAATACTTTCAATTTGAGGAGAAAAGTTTTTTCTTAAATATTATTGTTGTTTTTTTATTTTTCTATTTTGACATAAAATATGACCTGGACATGTTTTTGACAGGTTTTATGAAGTTCATTCAAATGCTTTTTATTGTTCTATTTGAACCTTCTTGGCTATGATCCTCAAAATTCTGTCTAGGTAGATAGCTCACTAGGTTTTAAGATATAACCCATGTGTCATATGTAAGAGGCATGTCTTCCTAAAGTTAACTTTTCTGTGCTGAGGGACACGTTAGAGCCATCTCACCCGATGGCTAATCGATCAGCGACTCCTCAGTCCTCATTTAACCCGTCACGTGCTCAAGTGCATCCAAACAGCTGTTCAAACACTCTAAACCTGGTAAACCTTCCCAGAATGCCTCCTTCTCTCACTCTCTCCATTTGCCACACTCTATTTATTAACTCTTTTGTTCTTTCCTTTCAAGGAAAAAAAGCCCTACCACAAATGTTGACATCATTCCTTAAAGAGAAAAAAAGAAAATCAGTCAGACTACTGTGGTGGCTTTGGAGTTGGAGTTTTTACAGTTCTTGCAAATTCAGTCTTTTAAGCGGGCGGATTAACATACCACATGGGCACATAATGGAGTCAGAGAAACACAAGCCCTGAGGAACACATGAGCGTGGCATTCCCGTCTGGATCTGGAGCATGGATTGGTGTAACGGAGGCACACAGTGACAGCGCTACAATACAGGAAGATGTTTACAGGGCTTCCTGCCAAGAAGCTCTGGAAATGTACCTAGTTACGGATTACGGAAATAAAAGTCTTCTTTATCGTTTAGTGGAAAGTGAGCTGTACGGAACCAAACTTGGTCTTCTACCAGGACTTTCTAACAGTATTTCGTTGTTATATGAAAATGTAACATGTTCCATGTTCCAGGTCGACTGCTCTATTACCACAGAAAATCCTTTTGATTTGTCGCTTAGTTTCAAAAAACAAACAAAAATGTTGTTTACAGTGCAAGTCTAGTGCAATTGATTTTGGAGAGTTTAAAAGCCGAAATGTGCAAGCTGTATTTTTATTAAAGTGCTTATAGTAGTTTTTCCATACAGCTTTTTGTTTCTGAGACACGACATGCCAACATTGGTTAAATCAGTGGTTCTCAACCAGGGCACCTGGGCCCATTAGAGGGTCTCAAGATGAATTAAAATGATTTAAATACCAAATCCAAAGCCATAACATCAAAAAAACAACAACAACTAAATATTATAATTGACCTCCTCAACAAGTGTTTTTTTTTATTTTTTTATGTTTTTGATAGAATCAGTGTTCCCACTGGATAAATGTAACCTGTGATATATGAAAAATGTAATTTCTAGACCTGGAAAAGTCATGTAAATTCTGGCATTTTACATTTTTTTTTATAGTTATGCCAAGCTCTAAAATATTTTATTGGGTAGAAATTGACAGTAAAAATATCTTTTAAAAATCCAATCCAGTAAATCATGAGCAAGTGGAGAAGTCATGGGGCTTTGAATATTGTTGTGGACAATGGGGGGTCTTGGAGTCAAAAAGCACTGAGAAGCACTGGGTTAAATCAGAAAAGGGACGCATTGCACCTTTAAGAAAGACCATGAAATATAGCAAATAAGTCACCTTCTGTTTTGGGCCTTCCTTTATAGTTATCCAGTCTTCTCCGTTTGAGCTTACATCCACCTTGTAGGACTTCACATAATATTTCTTGTTGGTCTCTTGAGAGATTGCTCCCTGTGTGCCGATCGCCGAGACAAAGCGCAGGAATCCAAGATCAACCTGAGGAGAGAGAGAACAATATTACTTCTATATTACTCCGAACAGAGGGAGTATCACTTTAAAAGTGGCTTATCGTGTGTCACATATTGAGCTCATAAGACCCCAGGTGAATATTAGAATGAAAGATTAATTTTAATGAATCCCAGTTTAATAAAGCATAGTCAATGTGACGATTTAATTTCCTGAACGGGAGACAAGAGCTTATTGGATGAGGAAGGATATTTAACTTCACAGAGCCTGTACCGGGAAAAAAAAAAAATCGTTTGAAAGGAAGCGTGCATTTCAGACGTGTGCTGTACTGAAAAATGAATGCTTCATAAAGAAGTCATGAGTTGTGATGTCATTCCCGTGAGCGTGCGGTGAGTGCGTCTGAGAGGACGGATGGGAGAGAGTGTGGTCAGGGGTTACTGGAAGAGAAAACACTGTGGACAGAGATGTGTGTGATTTGGTCAAATCCAGGACTATCAGAGCTGTAATACACAGAAAAATATCTCATTTAATATCTCATTTTTGTTGCGCAAAAGAAAACAATGGAGCAAATGGAGATTCAGCTTTGAGCTGAATTCAGCAATACGCTTCCACAGAGAACATATACTGAGCAAACTGACAGTGAACAGTGCCAAGCTGTGGTTTTTAGGGAGATGCTTTAGTGCTCGGAGAGGCTAAAAAACCTGAAATCCCATACAACATTTTCAAAAAATGAACCAAGGTTCACAGTAGTGTCAGTGGCACACAGCTGTCAAAGAGCTAAAACTAGATAAAAACGCAGGATAACATCCATGTAGTGCACCTGTTGTAGATACGCTCATCACCAATACCAGTTTTTCATTAAATATCATATTCCTTTTGTACTCAACATGAACTAACATAACGGTTTTGCTAGTCTCAAACTCAATTAGTGTAGAAAGAGCTAATTTCAAACTCTGTCTGTTCACTATTGTGCAGCATTTGTAAGTCCTGACTGAGTTTAATGATATTAAAAATACAATAACGTTGATTCTGAAGTCTGCTATATGAGTGCTGATCTGATCTGGCTGTGCTAAAATATACATGGCAGGAAGATAAGAGAGCTGTGGATCAGCCAGCGATTTGAGATCAGAAAGCTTGGCTGGAGAAGAGACAGTCTCCCTCACACCAGCTGATCACAGATCAGAACTAATGAGCGCCTCGTGATTTATTAACCACACTCTGCTTTAGAAAGACAAAGAGAGGGAAAAAAGGGTAAAAGAAACTAGAGCAGTAAGAAACTGAAGAAAAAAAGTGAACATTTCCAATACATTTTTCTACAGCAATCCTTTACATACATAAGCCTCACAACTTTTCCTTATGCAAAGAAAATATATTTCCTTATATATTAATGATCAATATATTAAATTATTTCATGTATATTGAAAATATACAGAATAGCATATTGTGCTAATATATTACAACATATTGTATAATACATAAGGAATTGCCACTAATATATTTACTTATATATCGTAATGTATGTTATTTTATATTCAATAATACAACTTCATAATGTATAGCTGTACATGTGATAAAATAAATATAATTATATACTATATTAATATAATTATATTTGAATTGAGAAATGAATCGAGTGTTTTAATAAAGCCATTACATGTAAAAATGTAGTGCAGTTTTTCTCTTCATTGCTATATCAATACATGGTCAATGCATATATTGCAGTATATAAAAAAATATAAGCACTAGTTTCCCATATATGGAAATTATTATTTAATATACTGCATATAGCTATATTATATATGCATTATTTAATATTTTCTTGTATTACAACCATTAAAATATGAATTTCTACAAAAATGATGACTGTTTTCAAACAGGTTTCCTAAATAATTTCTCTGTCTGCCATTGGTCAGCAAATCAGTTAGTTTTGCCTTAAACTCACACCATTGGTTGAGCTGTTGCTATGTCAGGCTGATCAGGATTCTTAATCAAACAAAGCAATGTTTTGAAAGCACCGCACAAAATCACGGAGTGTATACTTTCCAGAGAAATCAACCTACAAATGGTTTACTTATAGCTGTCTCTGCTTATTAAACGAGGATAGGAGAAAACAAGCAAATATTACACACTTCACCTTTAAAAGCAATGCAGTACAAACAGGAGATTAAGGGAAAGCCCCAGTTGCTCATGGGAACTCCCTGGCTGAAAAACTCCACTTTCTGGAGACAGGCCAGACTTGACTGTGGGCATTTCATCTGACCACAGAAGCAAAAATAATGATGAATTATATCATTTTGGTAAAGAAAATATCATTACATCTGAAGTTGCCAAATTATTGTATTGGTCACCAGTGTGACTATGCAGTTGTATAACGGTCAAGCTAATTTAAAGTCTGCTGCAACCACTGTGAGAAAGTGTCCAAACTGGAATCCATACGTCTCCAGAGGAAAATGTGTCCTCAAGCCAGCTGACTCTGCATATCCTCTGCTTGTAGTTTTGTATTCTTCTCCATTTCTACTCTTTTTTTTTTTATTGGATGTTGCAGGTTATGTAAGAGTCTGAAGATATCCTACTCAGTAGACAATTAAAATAATGCAGTTCTCGTTATATCACATCCAATGATCTAAAATGTGAAATTAAATAAAAAAAACATTTGATTAATTTATCTTGCTGGCTAGAACCCAAATGTAACTATGTTTTCATAATTCTGACATGGGAAATTCTGGTATGTTAAAACTTGTTCACTTTGCCCAGAGTCCATCTGTGAAGTATGGACCTCAGCTTAATTTTTCAGAGCTAATTAAATTGACAAATGCTATCTCTCTCTCTCTCTCTCTCTCTGTGTGTGTGTGTGTGTGTGTGTGCATTGGAAGGCACAGTTCCTGCCTTGCCCTTGGCCCGCATGGAAGGAAGTGGCAGAAATCTAATCTGCCTAAACCTAGTGCAAACTCACTGAAGCTTCTCGTGCTAATTGTGTTGAATTAAACAAGCGTCAAACATGTCTGCCTGTTTCCTAAAGCTGTGACAGTTGTGTTCTTCCTAGCATGGGCTTATTATGGTGTTTGATGGCTGTTTCAACAGTTTCTACAGAATGTTTATTTTGTTTTGTATGCTTGTAGGAAGTTGATTACATTAGTTAATTTTTTCAGTGTCTTTCCTGAAACAATTTGTCATTTGCGGTTCTTCATTTTCTGATCTGCAAAAATAAAGTATTGTGTATGAATATTTTTCTCCATTCTGTCTATTTTCTTGTCTCTTTCACCCTCGTCTTGCATATTAGTGGACAACAAAAATCCACAAATTGGTCAATCATTAAAACCACAACTGCTCTTGTGTGTCTAAGGCTCAAACGCCATCTGGTGCAGGTTAGTCAGGAGGAACTAAGACGTTGAGCAGACAGATGCGCGACGGCCCAGTCAAAGCAAACACAAATGTGGGACGGCAGGTTTCGCAGGGCAAAGTTTTACTTCATCCATCAAAGCGTGGCTTCCTCCCACCATCCCACGACACCTGGTTGCTCCGAAAGCTCCTCTAAAATTCCATTAACTACAGGTATAATTAATTCACATTTTCATGAAAATTGTATTACTGCCAGCTGAGAGATCTATAGGCTCCTCGAAGACCTCACATTCATCACCCAATTTACCTCGCGGAATTAGCTAGAGTTATTTTTAGAACATTTTTTTAATTTTTAAAATTATGCATGTGCCTGAATGGTGATCATGTGCTTCTCTTCCCAAACCAATCTAATGGGGTGGATGGTTTGAAAGTGGGATGAATATTAAACATTAAACACACACACACACACACACACAGACAGAGAGAGAGAGACAGAGAAAGAAAGAGAGAAAATAATATCATTTTTATCATAGTTGAGGAGGTGAACCCTAACCTAAAAACTCACCTAAAAAAAACCCTGTTAATTTAACCATAACCATAGTTTTTGGTTTTATTTATAGTAAAACCATGGTTTATTTTTGTAAGGGAAGAATGGTCAAACAATTATATTTCCGTTATGAGTCAGGCTACAGGTCTGTTATCACATGGTTCACATAATTTTTTTGTGTTCATATTAAACACAATAAGACAATAAGCTCACCGATGACAAAAGAACATCCTGTCCGTCTTAGAAATGGATTTCCTCTGACATGAATTAGCATAAATTCTATATTGCTAGCCTCTGGACCTCTTTCACATTAGCAGAAGAGCTTAATGTATCCAGCATACACCTGGATTCATATTTAATAACTAGAAAATTATATCAAAGAAGATTTCAAACTGTTCAAGCTAATTACACGTAGGCACTGAAGATGGTTTAAACTCTAAATCATAAGAATGTACCTAGCGCAGGTGTGATGCTAGCAGGGTGGCCAAGCTTGACACCAACTCTGCAGGCTTTGTCAGTAGAGACTCTCATGTTAATTACAGTCCCACTGTCTAATTACTCATCAGCTGGCAGGAGAACAGCACCCGTCTCAAAATAGCAGCAGCTAATCCTTTGATTTAAGAGAGAAAAAAAATCTAAGCAAAACAATAGAGAGCAGACATAGCTGCGTCTAGATGACCATCGCTAATGGAAAGCATATGTAGATGACATGCGAAGGCAAACAGGATATGGCCAAGTGCATTGTTTCTGGAGTGACATTTCGCCCCTAAGTCTCGCTCATTCACGCTATTTCCCTCGTTACATTCAACTTTCCTCGACAAGAGTCTGAGAGGAATATTTTTCTCAGAGGAAGTCTGTAATTAGTGCCTGCTTGATGGCCCTGGAATTTCAACCTGTTTTTATAGCAAAATGGGTCAGCGATTTAAGGCAGTGGCACAGTGGATAAGAATAAGAGGGTCGGGTGGTGTCTCAATCATTGTTTCCATCTACGGCCCTGGCACATTCCCTCCTCACCTCCATCAATCAAGCTGACGGCTTCCCGTTCAACTAGCTGACACAAAACCTGGTTGGCACTCTACAGGTCCAGACTTGAAAACGTCGGCCTTATTGTTTTGAACACTCTGACCTCTTGTCAGAGATGCTTTAATGAACAAAATGAAGGTAAACATCCTCTCCAGTGATGCAAAAGAGAAAAGCCCTTGCATCCCTGTGAATCAAGCCCTGATCAAAGCATTCAGCTGAACAGCAGGACAGACGTATGCAGCAGGTTTATAAATGAACCACTGTGTATTCCAAGCACCGCTGTATAAATGCAAGCGGCTGACGTGTTTCCGTAGACCTGAGGATGAGAATGATTGCGAGGCTGAGATTAATGAAACAGAACATGATCTATGAGCAACTTCTATTCAACCATTAGGAGCTAGACAGGAGCTTTCAACTATTGACACTTGACTTTTTCCCAGATCAAAATGCATAATTCATAAAAGTGCTTTGATGCTGCTGGAGTGGATGAGTGTGCATTTATTGCATCACTTGCAATATGCCACATATTGCACTGAAGTCTACCAAACAGGATCTGTTTTTTGTTATACCAAGCTCTCCACGGGACTGAAAATCTGCCATCCATAAGAACCTTCACAGCGTCTTTTGTTTTAGGTTACGGTCTTCTATAAATCGGAAGTCTTTCCTTGAGAGAGTCAAAATGTGTTGTACAGATGTAGGTATCTCGGCTTGTCGCGCTTTAACACAGTCTTCCGACTGAAACCAGGCCGTATCCATAAACATAGTAGACTGGAAGTTTTCAGAGCCAGATTCCCGTGTTCTGCAAGACTTCACCCCTTCTTTCATTCATCATATGTCTGATAAAGACCTTAACGGACATTGCACAAACCCTTGTAAACGGACAAGGAAAATACTAGCCTCTGTAGCTTACTGGCTTAGCTCAAGATCTCCTGACCCTCGACTAATTGTCAGGAGTGGCAAGCTGGGAGCATTAAACCCTGAATCTAATTTGAAGCCGCATTAAGATGCATGACAAACGCTGTGTTTTTGACACCTTCTGGGTGGGAAAAAATGCAAGAAATGGGGATTTTTAACAAGGAAGAACCGGCCTCTATGAATAATATAAGTGTCAGCTGTAAATTACATTTGAGAGTGTAAATGTAATAAATAATGAACTGATAATATGCGTTGGAGGACACATGAGCGAGCGAGTTGTGCATGCCAAGTGGACTGCGCCATTAAATGGAGAAATACTGTTGTGGTGGGTCATGTTGCTTAATGGAAGCGAAATGAAGAATTCCACTCTTTTAATAATGCTTGTTATAATTAAACTCCTCCACAAGTGCTGGGCACGAGAGAGAGAACGAGCGCAGGACGTCTCCAAATTATAAATCATTCATCCTCTGCAGGGTTCCGCCTTTGTTCCCTTGGAAACAGATGTGCGGGGTTCAACTTTGACATCTGATTGGCGGAAAGGGATTTACAGGGGCACGGTACAGGAGGGCTGAAACAGAATATGTTTGATTTGCTGAAATTTCTCCCACCAAAAAGAGTACCCTTCCTCTAATCAATACCCTTTAGAGAATTCCAGGCGGCTGCAAAATTGTACTCTCTTCAGCTCGATACTGCACTGTGGGAGGCGAGTCTTTTAGGGTTTCATTAATATCTGAAATGACTAAACAAGTTCAGCAAAGCCAAGAAGGTGAATAGTTGCAAAGTCTACTTAATTATCCTGAATAAAATATGAAGTGGCAACTGTGAAATGATGTGGAACCGATTGGTTTGGGTGCTAGAAGAGAAATTTTCTCTCTCATCTTTTAGACTCATTTAAGTCACATAAGCGGAATGTTTCTTTTCTGAAGACTTCCCATTGGTTGGATACGAGATAAAACTCAGTAGCACAACAGCGTGTCAACACCACATGCCAAACACTGATAAATATACTGTCATCTTACGAACATGAGAATCCTTCACTTAAAGTGATGGTCTGTAAAACGAGTAGAGGCTAATTATCGACTGCTTCTCAAAGAACATCCTGGTAGAGTGTTAGGATAGTTCATTGTGCTTTGTACAACAGTCCCAATCAATACCATATTGACAGAGACTGGTAATCTATAAGCATAATGAGTCCATCTAAACAAAGAAGAACTTTGAATTACTATGATCAAAAGCACTCGAGAAATCGGCAACGGTTACAATCCTCAACTCGATCAGACTCCACATTGAATCCTCAGGGCTCTGTTCTACGAAGAATTAAACATCGTGGTTCCTCTTCTCTGCCAAGTTGAGGCACCTTCCCCTAATTCAATTAGTTTCTGGTTTAGAACACAGACAATATTTTGATAGCAATAAGGAAAATCTACTTAACAGACCTCCCCTAGCAAATATTTGGCCGTGGTCACGTCTGTTATTAGCCTCCTGAGGAGTCTCTTTGGCCCAAACTTTCCAGTCAGGCAAAGATTATAAAACAAGTCTGGGTTTTGAGGGTACCCTTGGGGTTTGGGTCACAGAAAAGCCCCTAAGTGCAAGAAAAGGCCTGCAGAGGTGCTGCAATGCAATCAACACAATGACTCCTGCCAAGAGTTTTTCACAGATTCATGCGACTCAAATAATCTGTTGCTCATGTTACTGTCCTTGTGTGTGGTCACATTCCTTAGAATAAGTTTCAGGTTTCTTATTGTCTCTCAGACATTAAAATTATTTTAGATACACCCAGATGCATCTCATAGACAGTCTTTGTTAAGGTTACAAGCATCTGTTGGCCAGGATGACTCACTGGGGCCAAAGCGAACCAGTACAGTTGGGTTTTAACATTCCATGACTGTCGACCAAAGGGCAAAATTCAACAGATGTTGCTGCTGGTCTTCAATAGAGAACAGCAAGCCAGTGGCAAAAACATCTGCCTGATTGAGTTGAATGTGAATTCAGCTAGAGAAAGGTTCTAACTCAAAAATCATAAAAGCGTGAGGGAGTTTCAGAGTTTCAAACTTTTCTTCTGTAGACTCGCCTTCTCTATTTTTAAAAAAATACCACACAATTTCCTATTCTCTGCCAAGGACAAATCCCTTCTCCATTACTCATACATAATAGACTGCTATCTTCAGAATATGTGTGTGAATCGCACAGTACCTGGATCCATTCTTTGTTTGAGTCCTCCGCAGGGGTCCAACCGTTCTCAGGGTTGTTGAGTCTAGATCGTTCCGGAGACCAGCTGGGGTTGTACTGGGATGAAGCCATGATTTGGTCGGAATGGATTTCCCCAGTTTCCATACCCAAAGGCTCGGTGCAGTCAAAGTCTGAAGAAAGCACAGAGGAAAAAGGGGCAGTGGAGTTGTTAAAATGTCATTTCATGATCTAAATAAAGAATACATCAGATCACGACCCAAACTAAGGCCTTGCTCTTGGGAACGAGCCACTCAGAGTCAAAGCACCATAGGTTTCCATCTCTTAGCACCAGAATAAAACATACACTCTCTTCTTGCCCCTCTAAGCACAGTTTAATGGAAGCACTGTGGGAAGTGTACCACATTAAGACGCAGACCTTTATTCATAAAACATTCAGTTTAAGCTCTGAAGTCCATTAGCAAGAGAAATTTTGAGGTTCATAAAAGAAGTGCCTTCGAAAGGTGCACAGTTAAATGGCATTTCCCCAGCGTCAGCATTTGGAGGAATGGAAAGTCAGAGACGCCTCTGGCAGATGGAAGGAGAGCAGGTTGTATATCACTCCTCATGCCATGCCACCCAGGATAAGGGCATTGCTGATTGTTTTGTGATGTTATGGGGAAGTCGTCTCGAGGCATGCTGGCCGTGTGTCTGAAACAAGCAAAGTTCATGCTCTGACCCCCAAGGATCTTTTTCCAGACGCTTCGGCATAGAATGTAGGACTCTGAGACAGTGAAGGATGGGGAAATGTTGAGGCTGAGGTGGGAGACATGCTAATTTATTTACAACAGGTCACAGACTCCAAACAAACACATATTGTAGTTTTAAATGTAATTGCACGTTGAAACATGGTGAGCTCGTGTCACCAAATATAACAGCGGGAGCTGCAAGCAGGTCATATAAACACATACACAAACAACACAGCCCAAACATGCAGGCCTAAACACATGTAGCAGATGGAGAAGGCATGTGTGTTAGATAGACAGTAGTTTTATTTATTCACACTAAGCCATAAGCCCTGTTCTGAAAACCTAGTGATCTGCCTACCTAGACAGCACTTGAAGGCATCACATTTCTGCTACCTTTTAAGAGACTTAAGAGCGGTGTGCTCTGATTGGCCGGGTATCTAGTGCGTTGTGATTGGCCGGATTCCTCAAGCGTGTGACGGAAATGTTACGCCACTTACCAGGTTCAGGAAACTTTCCTCCATAAAATGCGCTGACCACACTCACATTTTTGGGTTGTACTGTTCTGGAACAGTGTTGTGAATAAAACTTAACCACTGATTTCTAGTTGTGTCCTCTTTTGAAAGGCCAAACAAAGTAGTTTGGCTTTCGCAATGAAACACACAGCGTCTCCACGGTATGGTGATGGCAACAATACTACAGCAAGAATCAAAGTTACGCCATCTTTCATTGCGTATACATTTGGGCAGTGTTGTGCAAATCTCCCCACACAGTGACGTAGACATGTGGGGGCGTGTTTAAACGAGGCATTTTAGGAAGGCGTGGATGAGCGTTCACTTTTAGAAAAAATATCTCTTTGGGTTTGAGACTTTAATCTTTGCGACTTTACGGATCTCTGTATGCACGAACAGCTTTAACGCTCCAAAGACAAAGGAAAACATGAATTCGCCCCTTTAATATATAACAATACATTTAATAGATATATAAATGTATAGCCTTTAATTCAGGATGGAAAAGTATCATACTATTTTATCCAATATCCTTACAAAAATATACCAGAATAACCACAGATTTTTTCAAAATACCAACATGTTGTAGAATATTGCAAAGGTATTTTTAGTGCTTATTCATTTCATTAGCTTAGCAACTCATGCGAACACTAAACTCAAAATTAAAGGGATTGTTGAGCCTTTTATGTGCTTCTCATGAATTTCCCTCTGTTACCCTTGAAACCTCAGCTCAACTAAATCTTAACATTACTTATTCTCTTTTATCTCTCTATCTCTTCAAGCCATCTATCCATTTCCCACCCTTTCATTCTTTAGAACAATGACTGAAAACAACCAGATCTCTCGTCTGATTACATCTGGCATCTGTCACTGTTTGGTCCCACTCGGCAGAGACCATAAATCTTTGACGGTTCTCTGACAAAATCCTTCAAAGAAAGACATATTGCCAATGGCGATCTCCTTCCTTCCTGCAAAGCACAATATACTGGTAAACATGTTGAACTGCGAGAGAAGCTGCCACAGAATGTAAATTTATGGAGCCAATAAATAATTGACAGACTGCGACTGTTGGGCAAAGCCCCAGCTGAGAACACACCGACTGCATTCTTCAGCATGAGCCGGGTAGCAGAGATGTAGTACACACCTTGATGTGTTCTGAGAGCTCAAGCTGCAATATAACACGGTACATCAGTTCACAACATTAATGGCAATATGCACTTTATACTAAGTACAATCGAATCACAAGCACCACTACCTGTCATGTTGAACAGATATGTTTTCAAGAGTAGGTGAGAAAGACAGACAGAGGAGGAGTAAGCATGAGGGTTGGTGGTGTGTTCTGAAATTAAATGTTTAGTTGGAGCATTGCTCAAATTGGGGTGAAGAGGTGAACCCTCTGGGTGAGCTGGTTTGGAAAAAAAGAGTAAACCAACCCTCACAAAGCAGGGCAGACGGGTCATGACTCTCAACACAATGACTTAATGAAAGAGGGCCACAGCTGAGCGGGACGTGGTGATTTAATAACTTCCCATGTTATATCATGTTGTAAATGTGGGTACACATCTGTATACGGGATTATAACCCCAATCAACAGGGTATGTTTCACTAACCTTTGCTAACATAATGTAAAGGCTGTGTAAATGCTAGGAACAAGCATTCTCATGATGTTCAAACCTAGATGTTTCAGAATGAGATTTTTTATAAGCAACATTCCCAAATTAAGTTGAGGGATTTTTTTTTATTTATTTATTTTTTACCTTTTTACATCTGCAGTTATAGGTTTTCGAAGTAATTACTGTACTTTTCGCTTGCCTTCATTCATCTTCCAAAACATTCAAATCTCAAAGAACTGGCCTCTCTACTGCCATTCAGCTATGGAGCACCCATGGTGTTTATCTAAATTTTGTGTAAATACTGAATCTTAAATCTTGACATACTGAATTATTTAATCTCATAGCATAACTGGTTGTGTGATCTCATCATGGTGGCCCGTGTTATACACAATAAACAACGTCTTCTAGGATGCTGATATGACTGAGGATGCTGGATGCTGAGACTTCACCTCATGTGAATTGTGTACTGATTTCGTCAATTACTGTGCACTTTAAACATTGCAGTAATGACTTACCATCCGGGACTGTCCTTTCCAGCACAGTAAAGTTAGCCGAGAATCCCTCTTTTGCAATAGCACTGTCTGTGTTGATTGTCAAAGCCAAGATTCCAGTGTAGGATATGATCCGTCCTGGAGTATTTTGTCCACAGTATCTGCCAATGTATGGACCAACTGTGGAAACAGACAAAGATAGAGCAAAGAGAGGGTTTTAGGGATGATTAGATACGTTTAAAAATCTACTATTCAAGCCATTCTATCACAGCTGATACTGCAGTGTGTGAACATCAAGGACAGTGACATTGGTTGACCTTGAATAACTGCATTGACTGAACAAAACATTCTCTCTACACCTTGTTGTTGATGGAAATGAAAAGGGCAGTGTCTGTTTTGTATGTCTATGACCTTGGGTTTCTGTTTTCAGCGGCGACCATAAATTCCTACACTTATTGTTCGTTCCAGGGCCACTCTAATGTGACTTCCCAGAAGCCACTTTAAAAGAAAAAAAAAATGTGTAGGAGTTGCAGGGGACAAGAAGGAAGGAACTGAACACAACTAAGGCTGTAAATTAAGAGGTATGCAGTGCATTCAGCTGCGAGAAGGAAATGCTTTGAAGCTGTATTGAAAAAGGGCTTTTCATACTATATGTACATGTCTTTCCAGGTTAAGGCCACTTTTAAACTTTGGTTTAAGCAATGTTTCAAACTTTTACCGTGCTAGATGTGGTAGATTGCAGTGCTTGAATGTAACGGCAAGTTGTTTGGCAACAGACAACCAATTATAAATGGCCCCAGTGCTTGCCTTATTAATTATTCATGAGCTTTGTACAGCCACAGAAACTTTTTTGTTTTTTTTTGTCATTTTTGTGCATTTTACGCCTACTGGACTGTCCAGTCAATAAAATTAACCTCTTTAAAATGCAAATAGCAAGATTAACCCAAGGTTTACAAATATACAGTATGAAATCTCAAAACCGGAGTAAAAGGATTAATTACTGACCCAAGGCAAAATATGAACCATGTGAAACCATATGAACCGCTCACAGTACACTGCAACTCAAAAAAAAAAGAAGCTAAACATGTCACATATCTTTGGAAAGCAGAGATTCTTGTGATTTGAATGCAAACCATTTTAAGATACAATCAACACAGCAGGTACAATCAGTGTCTTTTTTCAGACTTTATGCTGTGATCCCACTGTGTTTTCCAGCTAATAGCTCCCAGCTATAGTCATCTGCAGGCATCTGTTTATAAAGAAAATGTAGGCGGAATGTTTTTCTCCTTTTTCAGTGTGTTCAAAGTTCTATTACTCAACACCAGTAAGACTTACAGTGACACTCTAAGGTTCCTAAACTGATCAAACCTCAGAGTGTCACCTTTCAAAAGAGACCAAAACCATGCATATACAGTACTCCAAATGTTTCAAGAACAGCATGCAATTTACTTTGGGTATGCTTTTTTAGCCAAATTTTTGCAGGAATGCTAAGGGGTTAAAATGTGCTACAAATGACTGAGATATTGGCTTAAGCATTGACGCGCCTTTTTCAAGGATCGCTCTTTACAGAGAAACTGTGAATGGCTCTTTGAGAAGATGCCCATTACAGTCTGAAAGAGATTAAACAGATCTGCCAGCTTTGTGTGTGTGTGTGTGTGTGATTACATACAACAGATCTAGGGATTTACATGAATCTTAATCTTCATAAGAATTCATTGAAACAGGTGCATCCAAGTGTGTATAAATGTGTGCGCTTGTGTGTTGAGACGGCTCTGGGTGTGGTGAACCATCCGGATTATCTGCATGACTCAACAGGGCTATGAAATTTTAAAGAGCCTCTCCATGAACCCATCCAGCATGTCTGCTCTGGTGGAGGAGGAGGAGGGCTTTACAAACCCTCTGCCAGGCTGTGACTGCCTCAAAGTGGGCGGCCAGTGGGTGATGGAGGGCTTGAAGTCATCGAGGCTTCTGTCTCATGCCTCGCAGCCTTTCCACACTAATGCACTTCTTGATTGGTGTGGCTCCACAGGTAATGCAGCTAGTGTCTGAACCGTAGAGAGGAGTTACACTGAGGCCCTATAAGGCACCAGGGCCTTCCCTTTAAAGTCTTGTCTTCAGCCTCCCTCTCGGCTCTTTCTCTGTCACCGTGCACTTGTGGGACACCTTTTTATTGTAGATTTTTCAACAGAGGCCGCCGAGTCTAAAATAAAGCATGCAACCTTTGTCCCAGGTTCTACACTTCCCTCAGGCCTACATGGATTTTGGATTCACAAAAAGCTCTGTCGATTTTTGGAGAATTGGAACAGCATCATTCACAAAGTTCTACACACCCCTCACTTCCTGAGTTTGCTTACGAAAACAATAAGAGTGCAGCATTCTCAACTCTTTTTAAAAAAGTAGTTCACCCAGAAAGGAAAATTCTGTCATTATTAATCATAATTATCTTGTTCCAAAACTGCATGCTGTCTTTTTTTCAAAACCAAAATTAAGAAATCCTAAAAGTAACAGCATATGAGTTTCTACCGTTTTCCCTCAAAATCCATCCAGAAAATTCCACAAATTCTGAAAATGTCTGCAAATTCTGTCCGGACCTGCTCACAATAGACTAACAATTAGTTAAACAGACTTCCTTTAATCATAATTGCAACAATAGGTTCACAACGTATCCTCGGAAGTGATGCAGAAACTAATTTAAAAAAAATTTAACTGATGAGAAAGTTCAAAAGGCTCTGTCTCAGATCAAAGGTGTCATTAGTTCACAGCTTCTCTCTTCCATCAGGACAGAAAAAAGACCTCTGGTCCTCGCAGATTTCCTTCCCAGTTTGAGCTGAAATCTTCCTGTTGGGCTTCTGGGTGTGTATAAGCAGTTCAAATACACACGCACAAATAAAAACTGTAATTATCTTGGAGAACAGAATAGTTTTGGTGTTATGACAACAGTCTACATTCCAGAGTCCCTCACCCCGACCTGCCCGGGACAAACCACAGTCTAATGTCCAGAGAGACAGAAAACGAGAACAGCTATCAATGGGATAAAGAGCTTTTACTGGCATGTTCTCAAATACTCTTATACATTTGTGGATGTAAGAGTATGTGTGCATGTCCAAATATCTTATTGACACTTGGCCATGCTTAGGAGGGGTTTGTTTTGCTTGTGACACACAGCACATAGATCTGGGCCAGGCATCTGTTCTCCCTTAGAGATCAATCATACGGCATTGTTATTTAGTCATAGCATCTGGCTTATCTGTTAAAGGCCATTTCCAGAAGGCCAAAGATGAGACCCTCCCAATTACTTCTGCTCTGACCACTGTTTAGTTTCCTTTTCCAGACCGCCTTCTTCAGTATTGCACTTCAGCACTGTATTATATCGCAAATCATGCAGGTTGTTGAGGATAGGTGTGCTATTACTTTGCTATATGATCAGATTCACAATTTTCACCTGGCAGATAATAAAAGTGGTGCCATCTCCGATAGAATGTGTAAAAATTGTACCTTTAGGTGTTCAACAGCTTGGTACTGTGGCAGTACGCTTAAAGGGACAACTTTGTACATTATTTAAGGTTCATAAGTAGTACCTTAAGGGTACATATTACTACTCTAATGTCCTAGTATGCATATTTTAGAGGTAGATAAGGCAGAAAGAAAATCGTCCCAGTGACAAGCTGTTGTATCGCTAAAAGTAAAATTTTTGTGCATTTTTTGACAGTGTGAAAAAGTCCCTTAGACTTAAACTGAAGGAGGGAGCCAACCTAACATCCTCCCATCCACCTAGTACACTTTGTTGGTGTGCTTTGCATAGGAAACTTACATTCTCTTCAGAAAATGTAAACTCTATTTTGCATTGTTAAATTCGAGTATACATTCTTGTTACTTGATATCATGTTCTGTTTCTGTAGACTGAAGTATTTGAGTTTACTGTTGCTGGTCCTTTGAAGTGTGAGTATTTGAGAACCAATGTGCAAACATCATCCGCTAAATGATCTTTTGTTTCAAACATTCAGATTTTCCTGTATGGAGCAACTGTTCTCTCCAATGACTCACCTCCAGGGAAGCCGTCCCAAATCTCCAGGCGGTCGTAGCGGCAGAACACTCCAGTGGGTGGCTGTGTGTCTGGCTCCAACTCAAAGCTCTCGAACTCCAGAACGATCTCCGACATCTTAGGAGCAAAGATCATGAACGTACAGTCCAGGTTGTTGGGGTACTTCTCTGGAAAGCCGGGTGACTTGATGACTCCACTGCTGGAGGTGAAGTTCCTGGAACATTCTGGACCTGAGGTGGACACCGAGAGGAAGGAAAAAGTTAGGATTTCTTGTTTGCTCACTGAGGCAGATGGAGCAGGGGGAAAAAAAACAAACATCGAAGAAGGAACATGGTGGTCTGTGTTGTTTTGCTCGATGATTGCATGGTTTATGGGCTGTGGAGGAGGCCCACCCTGCTCGGGATATGGCTGCTGCCTTATTTCTTGGGTGTGTGGGCTAACAATGAAGACGAAATGAGACCAAAAAGAAAGTAAAAGCGCACATGAGCCTTTACTTATTAAAAGTTTCATACGCACTCTGTGCAGTACAGTTGGTGCTTAAAAAACACAATTAAGAAATAGTAAAATATGTCCATCATACTTTATAAAACTCACTTTATCCGCCCTTTAGAAATACACACACACACTCTTATATCAGCAAGTCAAAACATTTACCCGGAACTCTCTGGTGGACTAGCTTTGTTGATGTAGAGTGTCTTGTTGAAGTTCACACATGCATCACTACTTTGCACTTACACGACGGTTGCTCGACTAAAGCTGTTGTGTGATGAATAAGCTCAGAGCTCTAAGAGTGATGCATATAGGATCACCTCTGGATCATCAACACAGAAATGTCAACATTACGTTAACACTGTACCTAATGTAGTGTGGAAACTCATGGTAATTACTGCGGGTGCAAAAGTTTAAAGATCATGAACCAGAACAGAGATGACAAATAATGATGTCATTGTGGCTAAAAACCAATCCCACATTACTTCTTTAAGTGGAAGACAAAAGGGTAAGTCTTGAAGAATTCTCAAATTGCTTTCTTGCATAAAAATTGGATGGGGACCAGGGGTGCATCATAAAAGTGGTCTGTACAACTTGTGCGCCATATTCTTCTGTTCTAAAACATCTTCTGTAGACACAGATTGAAATTTAACTCATTATTCACTGAAAGCCTCTCAATTTCTTTGTGTGTAAGAGAGCAGCTTGGACATTCTACTACATATCTCCTATTATTTTCTATGGAAGAACGTTATATGGGTTTTGACACAATGGATTTCATTTACATTTTTTAGGTGAACTACTCCTTTTTAAATTATAAAAATGGACAGCCCAACAAACAAATCTCCAAAGGATGGAAGAATGGTTGAAAAAAATAAAAAAAATTTTTTGCAGCCTTAAGTGGATTTTCTGTTATTTTGGAACCTTGTTGGGTGCATAATTTAATGTCATCAAAAACTCTACCACATTCTACCACAAAACCTGTTAACTGCTTCTTTTTATTTACATTTTTTATTTCTTTTCCATTTTTCCTGTGCTCAAAAGAAAATGACCAGCACGGGAATATAAAGCTAAAGAGAGTTGACATTTAGTGCACTATTTAGTTGGTTTTTAAACAGCAGGACATAAATTCCACACTTTTAGTCTTTCATTACACAGAGCTTTAAAATTCCAGACATTTAATATTTTACATTTTCTTTCATAAATAAGAAAAAAAGCTTGAAATATAACACTCAGTGGAAGTGGATGTTCCCAAACCCTACAGCCCTCCACTCTAATCAATTGAAACCTAGGGTGTCAGCAATTAAACATGGGGAGAAGGTGTCACACGGATAGGACGGGGTACTTGCAGAAACACTTTGGGGTTTGGGGTTGAAAGGTGTCAGCTGAATGGTCAGCAATCAGTGTCTCTGAAAACTTTCCATGTTGAAATAAAAGTTACTAGGCTTAACAGGCTTATAAAGAAATTCAAAGGAGCTATTTGATGATGGAGCCACAAACTTTCAACTTTCATCTTTAGTTTTTGATAGTTGTGCACGTTCAAGCAACTGCAGATAGACACACTCAATTCAGTAGACTATTCTTAAGATAATCTTCTGACAGACAAAAATGTTCTGTGGCTGTTCCACGGGCAAGAAGGAATTGCATTTTCCTTTCGCAAGATAAGAGCACATTTCCTCTGCACTATTTCTCACTCTATTTATAAAGTGCATGCTATAACATTATCTTTTTAGCAAAACAATCCAGAATATACTCGAAGCAAGAACATGAAAGCAAATGCGTTGAATTCCGAAATATGTCGGAATTAATTTCGATGTTGCATTGACAGCATTGCCACAAAGGGGTGCTATAGTTGGTATTAGTGCCCAGTTTTATTGTTTAGGTTTTTTAGGTTTAGTTGAAGCAACAATTTGAAAATAAAAGCTGCATGAGCTAAAGTTGGCTAAACTGTCAACACACTAACTAGCTAGCAAGCTATCTGACATTTGAAGGTGACTCTATCATTACCTTAAATACTAATGCAATATTAAGTATTGTTTACAATGTGTCAATGTCTGCGTTATTGGCACACTTGTGTAGTTTTAGTGCCTCTCTGTGGATGGCTTAAATATAGAGTGTGAAATATAATAGAGAATTGTGGGTCCACTAGTACATTTATCTGTCTAGCAGGAACTGTGTAGCTTCGCGGCTCTTGACTGTGACTGGCTTTGTAATGCTTCACTGCTGTTTACAGATTGCGGTGGGATTCTAGGATTTGTGTGTATGTGTGTGCGTTTGTGATTATGCGTGTCTCATAAGGATTCAGAGACATGTCGCTATTGTCGCTAACCGCAAATGCTTAAAACCTCCACACATTCCCATGTCCCTTGGTTTGTTTCTGCAGTTATTTGCAAGCAGTTGAGAAAAAAAAAACTTTACAAGAGAAAACTGGGGAAAACTGAGATGAGAAATGGGACGGAGCTTTGAGCCTGTAAACGCAAGCCAAACAATTAAAGCTTTGTGAGAGCCATCCAGCTTTCCCTCTCACAGCCACAAATACTTTCAAGTCCTTCTGAACTAAATTTACACTTAAACACTAGAATTTATGGGAGAGTAGTGAAATGGTATTGAAAAAACACAGGCTTGATTCATAGCAGCTAAGCGCTAATTCTGACATTAACGGCTAGCTTTTGTACAATTTATTTAGTTTTTCCGGACTAACGTATATACACAGGGCTTATCTTTTCAATGCGGTGAAGTGGCTGAAGGATTCAGCCTCTGTGGAATATGCTGTTTATTTAACAGGCCAGAGGCAATGCTTGTTAAAATGATCGTTTGCAGGTCTCCCCTTAGTGCAAACAAACCCAGCAAAGTGTCAGAGATTTAATCCTCATGTTCTGTTGAGATTAACCCTGTTGAAAAAACCAGCATATGCTGGGTAGGTATGTTTTGAAGCTGGGATGCTGGTTTGAGCTGGTTTAAGCTGGTCCTTTGCTGGTTTATGCTGGTCATGTGCTGGTCCTAAACTGGTCCGACCAGCTTAAGACCAGCACATGACCAGCATAAACCAGCACATGACCAGCATAAACCAGCAAAGGACCAGCTTAAACCAGCTCAAACCAGCATCCCAGCTTCAAAACATACCTAACCAGCATATGCTGTTTTTTTCAACAGGGTTACTGTTGTTACGTTTGGGGACCCAGAGACCTCAGTGATGTATATCTTACAATACAACATGTCTAAACATTTCTGTCATTTAGAAATTAACCTTTTATCTTTAGTTCTTCTGACCTAATCAAAGCCATATATTACTGAATCTCTATTCCTCCGTTTGACCTTAAAGTAAAATAAGTTAGGTACTAAAATTACTACAATTAAAACCTGAATATCTCAAATAAACAAACACTAATAAAAATGTCAAAAGCATAACAGTATCTAAAATACACTGATTTGTCTCCATTCTTGTTTCTTTATCTAAGTGTTCTCTGCAAATGCTATAATTTTTTTGTAGTTTGGTAGCTACACTGCACACAGTACTGCAAACCTGAGCTGACACAGCTACGCTAATGCTAAGAGATGTGTATTACTAGATCCTTTGGCATACGACAAAGTTTGTGTAACGCTGAAGCAGAAATGAAATGGTGGGAGGTGTTCTGGGTCTAGTGAGCTAATCGCTGTTGTTTATATTCCATATATCTGCAGGGAGAATAATTAATCTGGACACACACATACACACACCTCTCCGTTTACCCCCGTGGCTACACTAAGACAGGTTAATGGGTGCGATGAGAGTTTGAGAAGCAAAATTTGGCCACACTTTCCAACAAACATGAATCTGGAGTCACAGCTGTGGGGTTACCCTGAACACACAAACACGCACACTTACAATCTACAGTTGCTGACACATCATTTAGCCAGCCAGCACCGCTGATGGTTCCCCTTGAGAACAAGAATGGACAATGCACAGAAAGACAGATTCTGCCTTGGGTTTCATTAGCTCTGAGTGTTAATGTAGGGGGGTTTATTTAGAAGACGGGCTTGCAGAATGACATGCTTGCCGTGCCAGATGTGACCTATGCCACTGGCCTGTAAAAAGCAACTAAACTTGTAAAAGGCAACTGAACTGGACACAATGAACAAGCTGCCATCCTCACGCAATCCTTGTCCTACTGTGTTGACACAGGCGCCATCGTAAAGACGTTCAGATAACATCTCTATGATGAATGGCCTAGCTTGTCATGAGCTAGTGATGATGACACAGACTTTCAGCATGATTTTAAGGCAGTTCACTGGTAACTATTTAAATACACACAAATGGGTTCATTGGAAAAATGTGCCTCTATCTATCTAGCACTCCAAAAGCGAACCTATACTTTATAAACACAATTCACTGCAGTTTCCAACTGAATGAACACCAGTGTCAGTAAAACAACAACTTTTATTCCTTTTCACACAAATTATAATTACAATTATCAATTAATAAATACTTTTTTTCATATGATTCCTTGCACAGTACTATGTAATGAACTCAAAACATATTAAGATGATTTGTAAACTAATACATTTTGATGTTTGCATCACATAACCAGCTCCATATGTATGGCTTTTTTTTGATGTAGTAAACTTGCTCAGTAGCGCACCCGGTACAGCATTGCACTTGCAATATGGAGTGCTTAGGTACAAGTCCTGTGAAACACAAATTACGATAAAGAGACTTGTACAAACAAGATAAAGTGGCATGGTGTGTTTTTATTGATGATACATTATTTTTAAACGTGATAGAGTATTAATCTTTTAGTGCCACTCACCGGACATTTAATTTCTGAACTGATGTGATAGGTATAACAACCACTGCAATAAAACTATGCCAGATTCACATTCACCTGTTTAATATAAAACTAAAGACTCTTTTAGCACCACTCTAAAAGTGTTGTGAAACATGCAACAACCAACATAAAAAAGTTTTGCAGAAATGTCACCACAGGCGCGTTTTCTCAAAGAACCTGGGTTGGGTGCACAATAAAAGCTCCTGTAAAGACCTCAATCTTTTATTGAATATTTTTTTGAAAAGATCAATCAAATCTGCAACAGTAACATCAATTTTAACTTTCATTCCTACAGCTCGCACATTAAGCGTTCATCTTTCTATTAGTGGTCCATCTCATTTGGAAGCCCGTTTCCAAAAAGTAAATGCGACCTTATCTCTCACACTTTATTTTTTGGCAATTACGCTTTTATACAATAAAATGTGTAATTTCCTATTTATTCTCACAGTTACCTTTTTGTTTTTTACTCAGAGGTGGAAACAGGTTTTTACAGTCTCCTCCTACTACACTGACACTGAGCGAGTGTAACTTACTTCTCCTTCCTTCTATCCCACACCCACGCCTTCCACCCCACTTGTGAAACATCAGCTTCTCTTCGCACTTGATGTGGCTCCGAAAATTGCAGAGCTGTTAACTAGACACATATGTCTCCTTCAACCCTAAGAAAGGCCATTTTGGGGATGCCACGGCAAGACAGGATGACATGATAACTACAGTCTCCTCTTCTTTACGGATGGGATACGCAAGTTTCTAAAAATCATCTAAAAGCCCCTTGTTAAGGATGGTGTAAGGGAACTCTGAGAGAAAGAACATGGTGTCTGTGAAACCGTAGCAGTCTGAAAGCCCCCTGAGGACAGCTCTTCATTAGATATCCATGCTGTCCAGTGTGGGTTAGTGCTTGGGTCAGGCTTGATTGCATTCATAGATAGCTGCGGTGGACAGATTCTCATCTCTTATCTTTCCTGTGCGTGTGTGTGTGTGTGTGTGTGTGTGTGTGCATAGCTCCCAGGCTTTCTCGCCCTCTCTTCACCTCATCTTCTCTCCCTCACTTTCTTTGTCACCTTCACACTTTTTTCTGAATAGATTCTTCTCTCCTTTTGTGTTCTCTGTTTATTCTCTCCTTCTCTTGCAGTCTTCACATTAAATCTCTACTCTCGTTTTCCCTCTTTGTTGCTTGTCTAAAATCCCTTTCCTTCTCCCCCATTATTCTTAATATGCATTTCAAAATTACCAATATTTCATATTAAAGCTTGGGAACATTTTACTACTCTGCTGTATCACTCCATCTGTCTTTGTTTTGCAATACTGTAACCAAACTCTATCTATCTATCTATCTATCTATCTATCCATGCATCCATAGTGACATTAATGACCTATATTGCTTGCCGAAAATATTGTTTATTGTGAATACTGTCTTTCTACTGTATTGTCTTCTATCATATTGCTGTTGCTGGCATTTTATAAAAGCAATACGCCACTTGTAATGCGTGTTAAAGTGATTTAACCACGGTTAAGTGGTGTTCTTAAGGACAGGGCAGAGTAAAATCACTATAACGCACAGTCTCTTGTGGCTAAATGCTTTAAATATAAATAAATAAATAAATATATATATATATTTTCTCCATCACTCTTCCTATTGCTTTTCACATTCTTTCCCTTGCTTTCTCGCTGTCCTTGTCTGTCTTTAATTGATAAGGTTGATTTACACTTTGCAGAGTTTGTGTAGTCACAACAAATTCCCATGTCCTGGACTGCAAACAACAGTATTTGTTGTTCACACAGGATCTGGTGGCCCACCCATGCTGATAAACTAAGAGGGTTTTCTGGAGGAACACACCCAGCGTGGGGGCGCCCATCCTGGCCGAGTGCGTCGAGTCGATATGTTTCAGACGTCTTTGCTCTCTCCAGAGGAACCTTATTTCCAATCAGACACATCAAGAAGATGAGTTTAAGAAAATCAGCACTGAGATAATGGAATACTGTGGGAGACTTATTGATGTTATTGATGAGCCAAAGTGTGTGGAGGTGCAACAGGGGGGATGGGAACCCAGAGGAACATCTATTGCTCCGGGGTTGCTCTTTTATAGCTCAGGAGTTCTCAATTGCGTTCTGTGAAGTATCAACTTTGTCTCTGATTTTTCTCCTAAAAGTGTGTGTATATATATATATATATATATATTTATTATCTTTTTTTTTAATTAATTTTCTATTCGTCAAAGAATCCTGAGAATTTAGTTTCCATATTTTCAACATTGTTTTCAACATTGATAATAATCAATCATGTTTCTTGAGCAGCAAATCAGCATATTAGAATGATTTCTGAAGATCATGTGACACTGAAGACTGGAGTAATGATGCTGAAAATACAGCTGCGCATCACAGAAATAAATTACATTTTAACAATATTTTTTAAATATTTTTTAAATGTAATAATTTCACAATATTACTATATTTACTGTATTTATTACACTTTTTAATACTTTGATATTTTGAAAAGTCACAGTTTGTGACATTATTGACATTTGTGCAAAAATCTCCATTTGCTCAACATATAATCTCATTGCGTCTAGGAATAACAATTGAGATATTAAAGAGATCTCTTTGCCAAATTTTTTTTCTTTTCTATGGGAATGATTACACACAAATGGACAATAAAGATGAAAATAACATCCATCTCATCCTGAGGTCACACTTGGGGTAGCCCAGGGTCAGTATTTGGCCATGATGTGCACTGCACCTGTCCGAGGTTACGCAAACATGCTTTCTCTTGAGTCTCTAGCCCTACCTCAAACACAGGAAACAGATCTGAACAACAGGAAATTTCTGCTCATTGCCGTGACATCTTCAGATAAGAACGACGGTCTCTCGGTGTGTATCTGTGTGTCTCTGTAGGCCAGACAATGCCAGACCGATAGACCCTGAAGGTCTACAAGTCCACGTTATCAACTGATCTTTTCTCATCAAGCAGCTTTCCCACTGGGCCTCACGAAGAGACAACAGAAAGTGCTCTCCCTCGCTCGCATCTGCCCTTATATGGTTGTTGTACTCTCCTACAGTAAATTCCTAGATTGTATGCATTCTTCTTATTATAAAACGATAGTTACGGCTCTAAAATATGACTGGATGAGCCACTTTGGGGCCATTGTAGGTGATATTCGCCTATCACTTTCTTTTTTCTTTCTACTCACCCGTTTTGAAGATCTCGTAGCGGATGGAGAAGCCAGCACCATGAGTCTCGTAGTCAGACGCAAACTTGATGAAGAGCTGGTTCCCAGAGGAGACCACAGGAGAGGGAGCGATCTTCCCACAATACTTCCCGACCAGCTGCCCGCTCTCATCCACTCCATCTCTCACTTCCACATAGTCATATCTGCACAGAGAGAGAAACACAAAAATTCATTCAGCTAAACTATTAACACTATACACTTTTTGTACAGAATTTAGCAGGTTAGATCATATAGACAGTTTGTTTCAGTAAACCGGTTCTAAATGTCTTTACTTACATTTATAATATTATTATACATATTTTTACTTTAAAAACAATGACTAGGTGCTAGTTATTTGAAAATTACATTCAAATTGTTTAAAATTCTGTTTTTTTATGAAAATCAAAAAAAGATAATAAAAGATAATATTTATAATGCATTTTACATTAGATTTGTTCAGTATTTTCCCTGTTTAAATGTTGTCAATGACCCAAATATCAACATTCACAAACAAAAGACATGTGCAATGAACTGGTTCAGAACAATCATTTAATTTATTTATTTGAATCTTTAATTTGGGTAATGTTCCTAAAGTGTTCTTGTGTGGTATTTTATGCGAGTAAAAAAAACAAAAAAAAAAACAATATGTGTTTAGTATAAGGACCAATACTCACTATTAACTTGTTGCTTATTTGCATGCCTATTATTAACATGTTGGCTGTTAATTAGCTCTTATAAAGCATTCTACATCCCTAATCCTACCCCCCACTCACACACACACACACACACACACACACAGGTTTGTTTTTGTGAAAAGTGGGGACATCCCATAGGCGTAATGGTTTTTCTACTGTACAGACCGTATATTCTATTGCCCTACACCAACCCTACCCCTAAACCTACCCCTCACAGGAAACTTTGTGCTATTTCAGATTTTCAATACACTCCATTCTGTGTGATTAATAAGCGTTTTGAAAAGTGGGGACATGGGATAATGTCCTGAAAAGTCACCTTCTCCTTGTAATACCTATGACATACCTTTGTCATTATACAAATTTATGTCCTCATTTGTCACAAAAAAATGCGCACACACACACTCACACACACACACACACACATATGCACAGTGAAACTTAAAATAATCTACATCCACAAAAGTGTCCTGTTTCTTTCCTGCGCTCTAATGATGAGTAATGTATCATGATGTTTGATGTTAGAGAGTTAAAAAGGGACAGACAAATTGCTGAATGACAGAAGATGGTGATACTCTTTACATGTCCGTTTGACAGTATGTGAGTAGAACAACAGTTATAGTATGAGAAAAAACAGGTGTCGCCTCCACACACACACACACACACACACACACACGCTTCAGTTCTCCTCAAAATAGAATTTCAACCCTAAAGCTATTGGCTTATGCTACCACATAATTGAGTCGGCGACAGTTTGGAAGACTGTTGCAGAAACAGCAGCACGTGCACACACAAAAACCCACGTGCACACACATACGCACGCTAATATTGTGTCTGTAATACAAGACGGGATTGGGTGGGTGGTCCTGCCTCAGCTAGCGAGCGAGATGGGATGAAAAACTAAAGCTGATGTGAATTCTCTTCTGTTTTAAGTCTGTTTGGACAATTCGCTCCGCATACTGATATAATAATGGTGAATTTCAATTGGGGGTAGGCTCAGCATGGAATATGATTGACAGCAAGGTCTTGTTTCCATGGCATTTAATCACCCCTGACACATGTAACCGCAGGAACGATGGGAGGATAGGAGAGCAAAGCATCATGGGGAGTAGAACGTTCCATTTCTTTCAAAGAATCGCAGTTTGCTTTCTCCAAGCTTATTAGGGATGCATAACCAAAATCTTGCTTGTGCATAATCTAATTTAATTTAATATTGAGAGGAGTATTGAAATACTGATATACAGTATATATTATTAATGTGCGTTACAGCATAGATATGCAACAGAAGACCTCCCTGCTCAAGAAAATGGTATATTCCACCTGCCACACATTACACGAGGAAATGTGTGAAAATTTAACGAAGGTATCGCAGACAGCTGAATGTGTGTCTGTATGTTAGTGTGTCCAGGGGGGTTATGGGAGGCATCAAAATTGGGGCGCATCTCATACTGTGCATTCAGTGATATAAAGGTTGGGACGGAATATGAGAAGCGTGCCGGTCTCTGAAATTGGGTCCCCTGAGGGGGCGGTAATGTAGAGATGACTTCACCCGTGTCTCTCCGCTTGGCTGGCCTGATGGAAGAGGCCAAGAACTCCATCAGTCACAGCAGAAGAGAGTGCCACCGCTGTAATGCTATATATACACTGAAGATGCATGAAAACGCATTTAAACTGGCAGGTAAAGAAAGTCTACATCCTTTGCAAAAATGCTACACAACTGTACTGTCATGCAAATATGTGAATGACGAAAGTCATTTGCGAAAATGCAAATTATTTAAAAAAAAAAAGGGAAAACAGAGGACCCTTCTAGACCTTTATGACTGTTTGTGTATGTTATATAGTAAAAAAAAGCAGGTATTTTAACCTTTTGGAAGTAAGGTTAGCTCATATCAAATGAATCAAATTTCTAAGAGCTTTATGGTTTAATTTTTAAATGTTTAATTTGTCAGTGACACAATTATCAACATAATCCAAACAAACCCATGTGCTTTATGACTGTTTGTGTATGTTATATAGTAAAAAAAAAGCAGGTATTTTAACCTTTTGGAAGTAAGGTTAGCTCATATCAAATGAATCAAATTTCTAAGAGCTTTATGGTCTAATTTTTAAATGTTTAATTTGTCAGTGACACAATTATCAACATAATCCAAACAAAACCATGTGCAAACACATAAACAGACCCACTGCTCTTTTCAGACAGCCTTGTCCAAGTCTTTGCTGCTCACATGATGTTTGCAGAGCTATGACCTCACTCTCTTTGGCTTGGGTCTACTGTTTTGTGCTTGGTGCCATTTTTTGCACGTTGTTCTGTTTTTCATTCCCTGCCCTCTTCCTCTTAAGGCCAGCTGTGGAAACAGCACTCCTGCACCCTCACAAACAAGCTCTGTTCACCTCTTCTCCTTTATCAGTCTGAGCAGGAGACCTCAGTCTACCTTCAGTCCCATCATGGTACATTTACACAGGAATCCTGCCAATGCACTTACGCTTTTACTCACTGCCTTTACGGCACAGTGGCCATAAAAAGCAGTCATTAACTCTCCCAAAGACTTCTTTTGTTTTCTGTCATCATTCTGGCTTGCCTAGCATTCTGGTGAGCTTGACTTACTTAAGTTAGGTCAAATGATGCTCTGAGAGACTGTTTTGTCAAGATAAGAGGAGAAGACAAAGAGACGAAAAGCTTAGAGTGATGGTTATGCTCATCGCCAACATAATTTTGGTGCAGTTTGGACATTCAAGTCTAAGCATGTTCTTGGAGCAACATCCTTTGCCCTCAAATAAACATAGACTTACCCGATCACTAAAACCCAGAAGGAAATCATTGTTTGGTGAGAATCTTTTTCAAGGCCCTAGCCCTAACTCTAAAACAAGAATCTGATTGGTTGATAGGAAGGTTGCTTTAGACATAGCCATTACTTTCCTTGTTGATGCCAGAAAAACTTGATTTTTTGGCCCTATCTCAAATGTTGCATTTCGTCCCATTTGTCATAGGTTTCAGTGCACTCTTCGCAGCCATTATAAGAAGTTGTGACCTTTTGCTGAGACTATACTAATCCAACAGTCTATATTTAATTACGTTACAAAAATGTGGACTTAAAAGTGTACTGCAATGGTTTAAGGTGGCATTCGGGACAGGGCCTTTGTTTGGGATGGGTTAGGACTTGGATTAAAGCTTCCTCTTTGATTTTAGGCCTAGATTATTGCTAGGGTAAAGTTTGGCTTATATTTGATTGATAGGGATGTTGTTCCAGCTTCAACAAGTATACTGATTCAGAAACATGCCGTACTTGAGTAAAACGCATTACTATTACAGACAGATGCGAGACCAAGTTGCTGTAAAATCCTAACCAAATTCACTCTTTTAAAAAGGGAATGCACTTTGTAGTGAATCAGAGATTGGTCTGAATACAGCTTGGGAAGATGCTTTGGTGCAGTAATGTGTGAAGATCTTTGACAGTAGCATCCGAGCTCAAGATGGAAAGCATCAGTCTTGTTCAGATCTGTCTGTTCTGCTCTTTCCTTCCTCTTTGAGCAAGGTAATTTCTCCCTGCTCTTATGACCTGCTGAATGATACCTCCACCTAGACACACACCCGAAAGCACAGATGTTCTCTGTACTTTAAATCCCACCTAGGTAAAGCCAAGCGTGACCATACCTTTGAAAAATTGATGCAAGCGTTATCCAGCCAAAGATTTTGGGGTTTAAGAAGTTGTTTCATCCTCAGTGGTGCCGTGAGAATCAAAGGTGTGTTATCGGATTTCAACAGTCTGTCACAGAATCACAGTCACCGATGCACAACCATAGTCACAGCGGAGTTAACATTATACTGTACTACAAGCTCTCCTCAAGACATCCTTTTAGCTGCAGCTTTGAAAAACAGCAGGCTTCTTCTTCCTGCACGTAAAGTCTTAGCACCTTCGGAGATCTTGTTTATGGCATTTTTTAGTCAGGCACTGCACTTGTTCCCTAACACAGATGGACCTTGTAAAGCTGGAGTGGGAGGTATTAGAATAAGATGCAGATGGAACTGCAGTAGTCGCCTCAAGGCCAGTGCTGCTTATGAAAAAAATGTCTTTAAGCATTCTAGCCACATTCTCATTTCTGTTTTTAAAGACTACTCGGCACAGGCTGCGCACAGCTTCATACCATTCTACAAGCTCAGTGGATCCTGAGTGCCAACTTGGCCCTGCTAATCATCTGCAGGACATTATGGCATTGACTGCAGAGGCCATTTTGCATTCAGAGACAGACTTTTTCCCAGAGAGGTCTGTGTAGAACAGTATTTGCTAATCCATTTCTTTGGGAACTTGCAGGGGTCTGAAACTGCGAAATGGAGTTAGCTGTAAACAGATCAAGAAAAAACAGCAGGGACCGATTTTAAAATGGAGTTTGGACCCTGAAGCCAAGAAGAAAGGTGTAAAGCATTCTCATCAAGTATAGAATCCCAATTTCTCAGACTAGACAACACTCCACAT